GATTTGCTGTTTCTGTATTAAAGTCAAATGCTTTATTTTGGTGGGAAGTTGAATCTTCTACCAGAACGGATGTTTTACAAACTCTGTCTTGGGTAGAATTCGTGGATCGATTCAAGAATCAATTATGTCCCAAAACAGCAGTGAGACAAATGGAGGAAGATTTCCTGAAGTTAGAGCAAGGAAATGGAACAGTTCGGGAGTATACCGAAAGATTCATTGAATACTCTCATTTTGCCGAACATTATGTTTCAACTGAATCCAGGAAGATAGAGAGGTATATTTGGGGTTTTAAACCCTCAATTAGAGAGTTTGTTATTGCTATGAACCCCAATACCTTTCCATTAACAGYAGAGGCAGCTGAGGTGACCGAACGAAATAAGAATAGACAATCAGAAGGAAAGGTTGTTGAGAAAAGAAAATGGGAAGGGCCTTCATCTGTCCGAGGGCCGAAAACTATAAGATATGATAACATATCAGAAGAAAAGATCGGTGAGAAAGTCTGCTGACAGTGCCGACAGGTTCATCAGGGTGAATGCAAGATGGACCCAAGGAAATGTTATAAGTGCGGTGAGGCAGGTCATTTATCCAGAAATTGCCTAGCTAACCGAAGATGTTTTAATTGCAATTCTCCAGATCATATTCGACCAAATTGTCCCTTGTTAAGAACTCCACAGTTAACAATGGGGAGTAATGCGTCGGGTACACGGGGAAGATCTACTGTAAATAGAGGAGGGCAAGGAGGGGCGCGGGGACGATCCTTCCAGATGACTAAGAATGACGCAGAAGCATCACCGGATGTAGTAACAGGTACATTCCTCCTGAATTCAATACGTGCTAAAGTGTTATTTGACTTGGGTGCAAACTTTTCGTTTGTATCACAATTGTTTGCTCAAACTGCATGTCTGAATTCTGTGCTACTTGATGATAAATTAGTAGTTGATACTGCTAATAGTCAGGAGACTGTTACTAGTGTGTTCAATAACTGTATTATTGTTATTGAGGATTGTGAATTTCCGATCCGGTTATTTCCCATGTCAATGAAAGAATTTGACGTAGTAGTGGGTATGGACTGGTTGGCAACGTATCAGGCTAGTATTGTTTGTAATCAGAAAATAATCAGGATTATTCTGCCAGATCAGAGAACAGTTGTTATTTATGGTGATCGTTAGAATCATCATACTAGTATTTTGTCAGTAATGAAAGCCTAGAAAAGTATTCGAAAGAAGTGTCAAGGATGTTTGGCATATGTAATTGATTTAAAGAAAGAGAAGAGAAAAGAGGAATCGATTCCGATTGTTAGTAAATATCCAGAAGTTTTTTCGGAGGACTTATCTGGATTACCACCAGATAGAGTTATTGAATTCCGAATCGATCTTGTACCAGGAGCTGCACCAGTAGCAAAGGCACCATACCGTTTAGCTCCATCTGAATTGAAA